AGATCAGTCAGCCTGCAGGCACCTGCAGCTGAGCTGCCACCTGCAGATCAAGCTGAGCACATCCATCCACACCATCTTCTCCTCTGTGGCATAGAAATAACCCCATGATGTTGAACTTCAAACACTGTAGCCTGCTGAATGTCCAGCTCTGACAGATGTGCTGGCGCCCGAGAGATAAGTGTATTGCTGTAGTCCAATCAGCAGATTTCTGTGTTGCTACTGCCAGGAAGATAGTATGATACCTGCTTTACAAGCTTTTCTCATGACATTATTACCTTGAGGCAGCTGCTGCATCTATGAAGTGTTCATACAAATGAGTGTTTATTATAGGTACGTACTTAAAAGGCTGTAGATGATGCGGTCTTAATCTAATTCCAAGTATCGGAACATTTTATTCCTCTGCTCCCTGCCCTTCACAGATACTCAAATAAAGTTCAAAGTGACTTTAGTATTGCCTGCAAAATACTACCTGCATGAAGAATATACTTAGTTGTGGGAAGCACTTAGTAAATTATCTAAACCGTACTACAGTTAAACTTTGCTTTTCTCCTTTCAGGTCTTGGGCTAAATTTTGATGAACTCCCTGCTCAGATCAGTTTCTCTGACTGGCCTGAAATGAAGAAAAAATTTGCATCCATATTTGCACAGAAGACACAGGCTGAGTGGTGCAGCATATTTGATGGCACTGATGCCTGTGTGACCCCTGTTTTATCCATCAATGATGCTGCCTCACATCAGCATAACAAAGAAAGAGGTTCTTTTATCAAAAATGATCAGGGAGAGATAAGTCCTAGACCAGCTCCTGTTCTATCGAGGACTCCTGCTGTTCCATCATGTAAAAGAGATCCTTTTATAGGAGAGCACACAGAAGAGATACTTCTAGAATATGGTTTCACTAAGCAAGAAATTGCTAAACTTTATTCTGATAAAGCAATAGAATCCAATAAACTGAAAGCTAATTTATAATTTCTGACTATGCACATCAGATGAATTACAGGCTGATACTGCAAGCTTTTATGCTTTAAAATTTAACTATATGACAAATAAATGTTTGCATAATACTGCTTTTAAATAATTTATATTTTTCAATTATTGACATCTTTAATTTGAAAACAGTGGGACTTATGTACTTGTGTACTGAGATGATCTGTTGTGTAGAATGATACTCTAATTGCGTTCTGAAGATATACACAGTTTACTTGGGAAGCACCTGTAAACTCTCAGAATGTTTGTTTAAATATTGTATCCTTTGGTTTGATTACTTTAATTCTTGGTTGCACCACTGATTTGTAATACATGTTGTAATTACCTGAAAGCAATTGTTTTAATAAAATAGAGTTATATTCTTCTTAAATGAGTGATTGTGGTGTTTATTCATGAATTAGAAGGGATTTTTTTCATCTATTTTTTGTATTAATTAATTTGCTTTATTATGCTGAAACTATGGTCTAAGTAAGCTATTCTCTTATGTGCTGCTGCAGAGCTATTATCTAAAGTTAATCTATTTTACAGCCTGACTATATTTTCTCAATGCAGTCTTATTATATTACATTTGGAGTATCAGGTTGGCTAGAAACTAAATTCAGAATAATTTTTTTTATTTTTAAAGTATCTGCCAACTAATAATCCTTTCCTCTCCTTATGGAAAAATTATAGGAAACTTTGCTGCATAGGTTTTAAACAATGGTTATTCCATATTGGTTTTCATTTCATTCAAACTTGAACTGTCATTTGAAATTTTCTCTTTCAAGGCAAAAGAAAATTTGCTTTAAAAAGAATTAGTTATATGGCATTAATACAGTATTGTCTAGTCCAACGTATGAGGAATTACAACATGAAGGGTTTTGATAATTTTGTCTGTGTTTTGCTGAAGATTGGTTTGTTGGTTACAAAGGCTTCCAAAGCTGAGGTATACTTTAGCTCATTTTACATGTGTTCTGGCAAAAATGTCAACATTATTACCATAAACAAACCTTTTATATTCTACTCCATAAACCCCAGCCTGGAAGCAAGAATTATCTCTTAGGTCCTGGCAGGTTGTCTAAATCATCAGCAAAAGCACCTGAAGTTTCCAGCTGATGATCAGTCTAGTGTAAGTTACTGAACATTATAGGACTTGACAAGTTGCTTAGTCCCACATATATCTGATCATGTTGGAGAAGAGCCAGTGTTGTCAAATGGGATGTCCATCATGGATAAGTTTTGAGACCAAAATTACTGATGTCAATTTAAAACCTCTTGATGCTTCAGGATAGGTTGGATCAGCTGCCTCACTCAGGTGGCTAACCTGAAAGGTACAGTTTGAGTAAGGTCACTACAGGTTTCTTTTAAGGCCTTCCCCTGGCAAGTAAGACTGTTTAAGAAACCCACCTCTAAGTAATTCTTACATTCTTTGTGAAATAATCAGTTCTTTTCAGGGCAATACACAGCATATACAAAAAAGTACTCAACAGTTGCTACTTGACAGATTTCTGTCAAGCTTTGTATCTGGCTCTAGTGCTCAAGGGCAATGGATAGGTTCACTTACTCATCCTTATGAAGTGCATTGAAATCCTTTTCTGGGTAGATACAGATTTTTCCTCCCAGGTTAGTCAGCGGGGAATGGTCTGATGCTCATGTTTGCTGAATGGAAGGATGAGGACTAGGTTCCTGGTGCCACTGCCGTCTTACAGCAAGGTCTAACAACAAGAGGAGTAGCTTTGTGTCAGGATAATCCTGTGCCCAGACCATGTGATGTATGTTCTCATTATATGTGTGCTTCATGCATAAACAGTAATTCCTCAGTTGTGGATAGTCGGGGGCAGTGCAGACGCCCAAAAGCTCAGATCGGCTAATGTGAACACACGCTTCCCCGCCCCCTTCCTGGCATAACTTGTGATCGCAGAGCCATGAAAGTATGTGAGTCCCTCCCCCAGCACAGACCGATCCCACCCGGCATATGATCTGGGCCCCATGTCAGCCGGAGCAGGCAGCACCAGCTCGCCACGGCACTGCTCGCAGCCGGAGCTATGACCTTAACGAAAGAGAGCTTCCACGGGGCTCTTCCACCCATCTCCGGAGTGGCCAAGGCCGACATGGATGGCACCAGGGAGAAGGAGGAAGCTCTGAGGCAGTCGGTGATGAGGAGTGGAGCAGCGGTGCCGAGGAGGCGAGCGGTGCGAAGGCTGGTCATGCACAGCATGGCCATGTTCGGCCGGGAGTTCTGCTATGCCGTGGAGGCCGCCTTTGTCACGCCAGTGCTGCTCAGTGTAGGGCTGCCCAAGAACCTCTACAGCCTCGTGTGGCTCATCAGCCCTATCCTGGGCTTCGTGCTGCAGCCCGTGGTAGGTTCAGCCAGTGATCACTGCACCTGTAGCTGGGGCAGGAGGCGACCTTACATTCTGGGTCTGGGCATCATAATGCTGTTAGGCATGGCTTTGTACCTCAATGGGGACGTGATGATCTCAGGTGAGTGAGGGGCATGCGCTATGCTAACAGAAAAAACTCATCCTAGCCTTTTGAATCAGAAAAAGGAGAGGGGTTCCTCCTTCCTTTCTTAAAATGCACTGTTAAAATTTGGTGTCATGTGACTCGGGTGCACTGAAGGAGCTGGGAAGCACTGTAATCTTTGTGTGCATTCAGTCCTAACACTGCATGTTATGTACCCTGTGCATCATGTTCTGTACTCTGTGCATGTGATTACAGCTGCTGGATATTGGTTTGGTTGCCTGATAAGCTCCTACAGGTAAAGATTTGCTTATGCCATAGAAGTTTCTATGAGCTAAGATCTACCTTGCTAACTTAAATGGTAGTATTGGTTTTGCGATGTAATACATATCACAACTGAATCCCCATTCTTCCATATCTTAGATGGATTAGTATTCAAAATACTCATCTTTGATTACTGCAGCACTGGTTTGATTCAGGGCTGTTGTGCCGGTGAAAAACAAAAATCCCTAACTGCTTAGAAACCCTGTTGCAGATGAAACATGCAAAATCAAATTTGAGTGCCATCCCTATTGTTACATTTTAGCTTGGGATGTAGCTTAAAGTGTTGATAGAAAGTCGTTGCTGACTAGGCAGATGGGGGAGGTGTGTGTTTTATGCATTATATAGTCTGTCTTCCTCAATATTATTGGTGTTGAATATACCTGATCTCACTGACCCAGAAAGAGATGTTGCAGTCAACTCTTGGTTTTCTAAAACAGTGTAAGGGTGGGACAAAGAGACTAAACTACAAGTATTACAAGATGCATGTGTTAGGCTACCAGAGCATTCCTTGAAGATGGAATAGATTAAGGACAGTGATGCACTTGGTTGTGGAGCTTGAAGCATTCTGAGTGTGTGCTGACTCAAGGCAGTAAGTCAATCTAGCCCAGCTCAGTGCACACAGACTCAGCTCTCCTGCTTCTCTGATGAGATTGTGGTGTTGCTGGACTCTCTCATGTAACCAGTTGTTGCTCAGGTTTTGAGGTATCAGGAGAAACTGAATATGGTTTTGCAGAACATGGCACTGTTGCTGTCAGAATGAGGGTGTTTTTCTTTTTTTAGCTTTCATCGATGAGAGAGACAAGCAGCGGACGTGGGCAATAGTCATTACCATGCTGGGAGTAGTACTTTTTGATTTTGCAGCTGATTTTATTGATGGTCCCATCAAAGCATATTTATTTGATGTCTGCTCTCATCAGGATAAAGAGAAGGGTCTGCATTACCACGCCCTCTTTACAGGTACCCTGATCCCTTCTTTTCCTCCCTACCTCTCAAAGGAGGGGAAGCTAATTGCATGGATTTTATCCTCACTGTGTTTCTAATCTTGAATGAACTGATCATCTGATCCTGCACTTCAATCACGAGATGTTTGTTGCTGGGCTTTCACTGCTCCAAAGAGCAGCAACTTGTGATGGCTGCTACAAAAATTCTGAAGAAGGTTGCAGGCACAAAAAATTACAGCAACACAGACATGATTTAAGACTAGTTTGTTATTTTAAGAAGTGAAGTAGTGTTTGTTCAGTTTGTTTTGGTTTTTTTAAAGTTTTTGCTAAGGCAAAATTGAATGGATGTAGCTTGTTTCATTGCTATTGCACATAAAAATAACATTTTAGACTCATCATGTGACATAGAACAGGAGCTGCACAAACCAATTGATTTCCATTCTTCAGCAGCACTCCAGTATGTGCTGTATAGAAACAGGAGTTCTGTGTAAAATTCATAAATTCACTTCTCCCAGAAAATAGGTCCAAGTGGTTCAGTTCAAGTTCCTGCAAATGAAATTAACAGCTTCATTTGCCTTCATACATTTTTGGAATGTTGCCGAGTTACAGACGGACACAAAATTGTTGGAACAAGTCCAAAGGAGGGCCACGAAGTTGTTTAGGGGACTGGAGAAGCTCTCCTATGAAGATGGGCTGAGAAAATTGGGGCTGTTCAGCCTGGTGAAAAGAAGGTTGTGTGTCTGAAGGGGGGCCACAGGGGAGCTGGAGTGGGACACTTCTTTAGGAAGATAAGTGGAAATTTAGACTGGATATTAGGAAGAGCCCATCTATGAGAGTAGTGAGACACTGGAATAGGTTGTCCAGGGAGGTTATGGATGGCCAACCCTTGTCAGTGTTCCAGGCCAGACTGGATAAGGCCTTGAACAGCCTGGTCTAGTGGGAGGTGGGACTGGATGATATCTAAGGTCCATTCCAACCCCTGAACACAGATTCTATGAAATCATCTGTACAGTGTGAGCCCTGTGTTGAGGACATGCACAGGGAAGACACCTAAGGATGTGTACGTGTAAAGTGACCCAGGAGGAACCTCCTGCTGTATCTGAGAGTAGTCCCTATGAAAGCACTAGACAAAAAGCAGACTGCATGGGAAGTCATGCAATCTTTGTTACAGCAGATTTTTGTGGCTACTGAGCCCCCTCCAGGAGCAGAGACACGTAGTCTCAGTAGTAGCTACTCTGTTCAAGGAGGGAGGTGTAGAAGCTACTGACAGCTGGCTGATTTTGGACACATGAAATACCTGCGTCCAGGAACACAGATCATAAGGGAAGCTTAAAGCCACATGGGAATGAAATCTGTATTATCCATTAGAAACAGACAGATAAAATGTTAAAGACTCATTTGTTTGAACAGAGAGAGTGTTGAGTGTCCATGTATATTCAGCACAACTCTGGTTGCAGTTTTAGTGTGGATGATACTAAAAAGTCTCTGAGTTTGAAGCTACAGATTTAGCTAAGTGTACTCAGATGTGAGAAGGGATGTGGGACAACATGAAATAAGACTGGGGCAGAGTATGTGACTTAGTCCAGCATCCTGTGCTCTCCACAGCAAGTTCATCAATATCTTAACCCTTCCTAACTGAAAGTTCCCTGGCCTGGTGTTGAAATCCTGCATTGATTGGAGTTCTACAGCCTCCCAAGGCAATTCACTGGCCTTGGTGTTAGTTTTCCCTAAACTGTAATATTAATATCCATTCCCTACAGTTTACGTTTATAGGTCCCCATTTTGTCTCTATTAGACACTGAGTGCAATCTTCCCATTTCTTTTCCAGCTTCTGTTTTAGATATTAGTTCTTTTTCCCACTTCAGTTCCTTCCTTCCTTTTATACTTAATATTTCTAAGATTTTACTCTCCAGTTTGCCTTCAGTTTAGGGTTTGAACATGAAATTTGATAGCTTTGCAGTTATGAAATCCATGGCCACTTATTCAAGTGGAAGAAAGAGTGCACACATCCAAGAACTCAACATTCAGGCTGCATTGCTGCATTCCAATATCATGGTGCTTTTTTTTTCAAAACAGCATGCAAAAACATCCTCAAATGTCAAACATTATGTCTGCAAACATACACTGAAAACATGTAGTGTGGATTTTCTTTAAAAAGTTACTAATAGCATAATTGTTTTTTCTGAAAACAATCAAGGATACAGTCCCCTGTGAAATGCCATAGGACACAATGAAGGAGGGCCATAATCAGATGCAGGAGGGCAAGAAAGGTACAGAAAGTCCAGAATGAAATCAAAATCCCATGTTTTGTTCGGGAAGCAAGTGCAGGTGCTGTTAGTTTTTATTAACACGCAGCTTTGCTGTACACTGTTATCAGTTCTCCTAAGCAGAAGGAGAGAAAGGCTTCCAAGTTCTTGGAAGGTGCCTATCCTGTGGAACTCCCAACCATCCATCACCCCAGATTAACCCGGTTAACAAGGTGTCAGGACTCTGCAAAGGTGCCACCCCTACCAGAGCTCAGAGTGTAACAGAGAGCACGTTCCTGTGCACCTCTGTGTGCACTTATAACAAACAGAAGAAATTGTAAAAAAACCCAAACTGACTGAAAACTGGGTTTATTACTTCAAAGCACAAAGTAGCATTCTCATTTTACCCTTTAGTCTACCTCTTCTGAGAAAACTAGCAAATGGATTACGCATTTATATTTGTTCCTTTCTGTTTTCTTTTCCAAGTGGTGTGGTGCTTGGATTTGTATAAGTACCTAACAATGCCTTTGAGTGTATTTCCCTTTTTAAAAAATTTCACATGGAGTCAGTATTTCTGCTTGGACTAAGCTAAATAAAATATATTTTACAAATTCTAAAGTATAGATATAGCTATATATATATATATATATATATATATATATATATATAGTCTCAATATAATTTTAAAAATTTTTGTTCTGTGAAAATAAAAAAAAAAGAGAAAACCACATTAATTCTTGTAGGCTTTTGCTTAGTGTTACTTGGATTATTTACCATTTCAAAGAAAATAGAGCTTCAAAGAGTCTTAAAAAGAGATGGAGCCCATGTTGCTGTATGTTCAGGTAGTTTCTGGAGAGCTCTGCCTGACAGATCGGAGATTTTTCAAGAGATGTTTTAGTAACTGCTCATGTATGTGATTAGCTCAGTATTCCTATTTCTTGTGATATGTATGTATCTGTTGAGTGATTATTCCATTATTTCTAGAGGGCAACACATATTGAGGGTATTAAGTACTCTTCGTTTATTTTATCAATGCCAGTAGACATTTTTTTTCCTTTTCTTTTCCCCCACCATTGTAGGTTTGGGAGGAGCCCTGGGTTACCTCACAGGTGCTATGGATTGGGGTCAAACTATACTAGGATATACCTTGGCATCAGAATTCCAGGTGATTTTCTTCTTCGCAGCCTTGGTTTTCATAATCTGCCTTACCCTACATCTGTGCAGTATTCCTGAAGTCCCACTCAGATACGAGAATGAAGAGACAAAGTTCTTGTTGGAAGTGTCTGAACCCCATAAATACAACTCCACAGAGGAGCAAATCAAGAATGGTTACTTAAAATCAACATGTTCCGAAATAAAGGCTGCAGCCAAGCCAGCGAAGTGTGTGGTGGTGTCACGCACAGAGGTGAGTGCAGAGATGATTTTACGGGATGTATCTGCATCCTTGGAGACCCCTTAATTTGCTAATGATGATTGTTTGTAATGGAGTCCTTTCACATACACAGGGATACAGAAACAGGAGAAAGCCTTCCTGGTTTTTTTTATTTTTTTTTTTCCTTTAGACAGTATTGCCCACAAGAGGGATGAGGGAGGTGGCTCAGCTTTCTCTTCAATGTCAGTCACTTGATATCCTCCTCATGGGAATATTGTAAATAGGATCTACTTTGTCCTTTAGGCTTGATATAATTAGCATAAAATTGTGGACAAAGACTGCAGACCATTAATCTTTGATGTAAGTCTCTAATTCTCACTGAGGTCCACACAGTTTTCTACATAGTACATGTGAAATGTCTAGTAAACATTTAGGTTTTCAGCTGCTCAACATTTCATTGAGCATTAATGTGTTTAAAACTGATGCTTCTACAGCAGTACTTCCTTGCTACCAGAGCCTGAGTGATACTGTAGCTGTGCCCTTGGCAAAATTTTGCGGTGCAAGAGAACAGTGAGTACTTTTAAATCCTCACTGTTTATTTGTTTCTGATGCATTTTTTGAGAGATTTCTTCAACCTAAGGCACCTAGGAAAAGGTGAATCTACCAGAAAAATATCTGGGGAGCCCACTTCTAGCATGGTTTTGGGAACAGATGATCATTTTTACTGTTTGATTGATGACTTTCAGTGTTAGAAATCCTCATGGCTATCTCATGCTACCCTAGGTAAGCAAAGTATAACACAATAGTGGTGACACAATTGCTTCTCATTTTAATTTCACTTCTGATGTCTTGGCATTATATCTATCCCTGATACACTGATAGAAAGGTTTGATAAATCAGGTAAAACATACTAAACAAATGGTTATAAGTAAGAAAGCAATACTCTTGTTTAATCTATAAATAAAAGGGATTTATGATCTTTTACTATTTGTAATTTGTTTTATAATAGCACTTGGTGTTTCTAATCATAAAAAAATATTATTACACCAGATGCAAGACAGGAAATAAGCACTGCCTGATGAGAATGCCAGGCAAACACAGAGTAGGGCAGACAGTGAGGCAACAGTTGTGGGGAGAATCTGACAAGAGCACTGTGATGCTGCCTGAGCTTCCCCACTTGCAGGGCAACTTGAGCAGCCAGCACCCTTCACCAGCACTGTTCACTCTGCATCCTCCAATTGTTAGAGATGCTGAGCATCATTGATTGCTTGGACCATGTAGGCTGTTAAAGAAAAAAAAAAGAGAAGGCAAATAAAGATGAGAGAGCAATGCAGTGAAAGTGGGGGGAGCAGACTGTGGTTTGGGGCAGGCTCTGCCTTGGCAAGAAATAATTCCATGGAGTCAGTAACAGGAATAACGTGGAGCTCCATTTCTGGCACTGGAGGTGAAGCTGTGGTGTCCACTATGGGTGAGCCTGTGCCGTTGCCCTCCTCTCTGATTAGGCTGGGCAGCCTGTTAGAGTCCCCCAGTGCTTTGATCAGTCTTATGTTTCTTGGTGTGTATGAATGCCAGACACTCCCTGCTTTAATGATCTGTCTTCTGTGGCACATGTTTGCTGAGTTCATTCATTACCATAATCACTTCCTTGAAGAAATGGTTTGGCTTCCTGTTTTTCTGTCTCTTTTTTTTAATTTTTATTGAAGGCATCATGGCTATATTTCTTCTAAATTAATCCTATGCTCTCACATACTAATAGCTAACATGATTATCAATAAGATTTGACCTGTCACAGTATGAACAGACACCCAAAGCAATTAGCCTTGTATTCTTTTGAATGGTGCCAAATTATTCAGTTTCTACTGCCGTAAAACCCAAGGCATATTGCTTCCTCTGTATTCTTATTACCTTATGCCCTGGGTTGTAGTGATTTTGTAGAGATTATTTGGTTTTGAGAACTTTTGAAGGATAAGATGCTTAAACAGAGCCAAACTTCAGAACGTTATTTAAATTAGCATGTAATTTGTGGGCCTGTATGTTTTGAATTTTGAACATTAAGCATTTTTTGATTTCCATTTCCACTCTCTCAGCTTCTATTTAGCTGTCAAACTATTGTTTGTAATCACTGCAGTGTCCTTTGTAATTCCATGATCTTATCTTAAAGCTTTGCTTGGAAAGGCTATTTTAAAAAGCAGAGTGGAAGAATTACAAGATAAATTAAGCTAAGCCAACGATAGTAATTATCTTTGAAATAACACTAATGAGTCCATCTGGAATTTTTTTGTTTGTTTTCCTTTTATAATTGTAGAAGAATATAAAGCTTACCCTGTTTAAAAAGAGACAGTGATGCCAAGAGAAATTCCAAGGGATTTGGACAATATACAGTCCAAGGTGGAAGTCAGCAACTTGAATTTTGGCATTCCTATGAGGATTAAAAACCTCACACTGAAGCAAAGTATTTTCCAGCTTTATGTGTGGTGATTATTCATAGAGTAGCTTGCAGCATAGCCTACTTCAAAGGAAAGTAGAATTTTGAGAAGTAAGTACAGCACTGAAGAGAGAAGGGAAAACATGACATCTTACAGCAAATTGATTACAAGATCCAGTCCAGGAATTTCCAGTAGTTAGCCTAACTTTAGCAGTTCTTCCACATTTCATAACATACATCTTCCCTTACCATTTCTCTGTGACTGTTGTCTCCAAAGATTAGGAAAGAAATTGGAAGTTTCCATCGTGCACAGTTAAACTAGTATCTTTTTTTCTTTAAAAGCAGTGAACCATGCAGGAGCTTTAATACAGGAAGAATTATGTGTCAAAATACCTGATACCAAACACACCTACAGTACTTTAAAAAAAAAAAAGTAATACAAATTATCTGATCAATGTGACTGGAAAAGAAACTGAGAGGTTTTGGGCACAGAGCTGAGATGAGCAGGGAGATAACATGGGTGATTAAACGTGGTGAGAAAATTTTATTTTCCTCATCAGTGAGATTTGTTAGCCAGCACCAATTAAGTTTTGATTGTGAAATTAGTTATTTCTCCCCTGGTATGAGGTGTTCAGACGCTGGAGCTCACATTCTCTGTGTGCTACCATGGTGAACCACAGCTCCTCCCTGCTTCAAGGACAGTGCATAGTGGAAATCTCATTATATGCCTGAAGAGTTAGAAGTTTCTCTAGAAAAAGAAGTTTCCTGGGGAATTTAACACATAGAATGGAAAGGGAATAAGGTCTCAGAAATCCACAATTGACACATTTTAATTTTCAGGAGTATTTTGAGCATAGCTTTTTTCTGCAGCAGCTTTAAATTTTCAGTGTAAAGCTGATAGCTTCTTTAAATAAATAACTTTAGTTTCTGGTTGTTTTTGTTGGTGGTTAATTAGAGTTTTTTTTCACTGATGAGTTTTTATAACTCCCTGAGTCTGCTTTAGCAGAAAATTTCCCTGTGATTCCACATGTAAATAATTGTCCTACTGATTATAACAGCAAGAAATATTACATTCCTATTGGTATACTCCATCTCTTCTACAGTTTTTGTGGATTTTATAAATTGAAGGAAACTCGGTACCAAGCAACCCTTCCAAGCAGAAAAGAAAAGACTGGAAGTTTAGCAATTAAGAGATACTACTAAGGCCTTCTGCATTTGCTGTCAGCTATTTCATTAGCCTTCAGGACAATAATACTGAATATTTGCTTTTAGGAAAAAAGGCAGATGACCCTTAAATCACTCTTGAAGACACTTTTAAGCATGCCATCCCACTATCGCTGTCTGTGTGTGAGCCACCTCTTTGGATGGATGGCTTTCCTGTCCAATATGCTCTTCTTCACAGATTTCATGGGACAGGTAAAGTATAAAACCCTTTCAATGTTCCTTCCTTGTAGTATCTCCTGCTCGATCAGAAGGAAATGAAATGGTGTTACTATCCTGAGGAAAATGACACTGGTGTCAGAGCCACTTCTATCTGGATGGCTCATCAATAGTTTTGTAAGCCAGCTAATTAAGGTCAGGCCATTGTTCCAAGCCTGTACGTGAAATCACTGGGGAAAACCTTTAGTATTTTTAAGGCTATTTGTGACTGTTCTAAGGCAAGTTCTCAGAGCTGGTCCAACCACTTCCACTTTCTGCTTTGGCTTGGGAGCTGTTCCTACACGGGCAGGTTTTCTAGCTGAGGCAGTGCTTAGATGCAGCTGGCCTTGTACTGGTGTGTATGCAGCATCCACACAAAGCCCTTCACCTGCTATGCAGCCTCCCTGGCCTCAGGCCATGCAGCTCTTTGCACACAGGGAGCTACTTGATAGCAGAAAGTTTTATCTTCTTTCATTTGTCTGTCCTGAGTCCCTTTTCTCAGCAACTTCACAATACCCAGTGATGCCTTTTCTGTGCCATTTCCAGGGACTGAATGTCCTTGACAGTGATTCTTGCCTATATGAATGTGCCTTCTTTCTTCCAGTGAATTAATATGCTCCTGGCACAAATCTCTCACTGCCACTCCCTTATTTTCTGTGGTTTCTACACAGTATTCCCATTTCCTTGCCTTTTTTTGTCTTTGTAGGCAAGGCAAGGGTGATGTTTTTTTTCCCTGCAGTGTAGACAAACAACTGAAAGAAAAAAGTTCTGCTTGTCTAGAAAAGTAACTGAATAAGACAATAACTGTTTGGAAAAATGAATGTGTTGAGGTAAACCTGAAAGAGAAAACAGAAAAAAAATTGTAGATAAATTAGAGAAAGAAAGGCTAAGGCAAGAAGGCAGAAGTGGAGAGAGAAAGTTAGTTGGAAGTGAGATGCCCAAAGAATAAAAGAGCAAATAAGTTGATGTAAAGTAGACAGTCCAGGAAAAGACAGAGGGTAACAAATGAGGCAAAGCCTGGGATGTGATAGTCCAGGAGACCTGAGAGTGAAACCTAGAGAATTACACATGGGGGTTTAGGACACTACTTAATAGATTACTTGGGTGCTCCCTACCAGGGATGGGGCCCCGTGCCCATAAGGAGGAGGCATTCCCTACACCCTGCCTCCTGTGACTTCTGTGGTCTCTTTCAGGTTGTGTACCATGGGAATCCTTATGCACCTCACAACTCCACACTTTACCTTACCTACAAAACAGGGGTAGAGATGGGGTGCTGGGGACTGTGCATCAATGCAGTTTCTTCATCAGTCTATTCTTGTAAGTACCCATGAATGAACCCCCAACACTGCTGTTTGCCATTGTTTAAAAGCATAAAAGGATGCCAAATTTCCTCGACTTCTTTTCTACATTAAAGCTTTAAGGAATGTTACATTCTCAGCGTTGTTAGAAACTCATATCTTATTACAAACAGTTCATGACCACATGATGAGGGCTCACTTTGGGAGTAGGACATTGTTCTGCACGTGAACTGATCCTAAACACTGAAAATCATTCTGTAATTAACTGCCACACCAAATTCTTAGGTGCTCTTTCACCTAGCAATGCTGTAGCTGTAGGCTCTCAAAGGTGGCCTCTCCCCATTTGCATTCTCCATGCAGAAGGTCTGCCAAAAGCTTGAATCTTGATCTGCAAAATTATATGTAAACATGCTAGCACAGCTGCCCAGCTCTCCCCACAACTCTTCCCAAGGATTAAAAAAACTACTTGTGATCCAAAAATTCAAACAAGTAGTGTTTTGAGGATTGATTTGAACATCTAAAAGAGGCTTGAGGGAAATGTTTTCACCTTTGGAGCCTTAACTGCAGGCATTTCTATGTGGCCTTTCTGTGGATGAACACCTATTCAGCACTACTATCTCTGGGTGCAGCTGCAGTGTGAGCTGCAGGTTGAGCTCTGGGTGGTGTGAGCAAATATTCTTTGGCAAGTTTATACCTAAAATAATTTGAGGTAATTTCCAAAATCTTTATCTCCTTCATTGCATTTTACAAGATACAACCCCTTAAAAGGAGCTCCCTGATAAAATGTGACCTGCTTTGTTTAATCTTATTGGCATTTTTGCTTTCTTTTAACAGACTTGCAGAAAGTCCTTCTGCCATACATAGGATTAAAGGGACTTTATTTCATTGGATACCTACTTTTTGGACTGGGTACTGGATTAATTGGCTTGTTTCCCAATGTGTATTCCACTCTGGCTCTTTGTTCACTCTTTGGAGTCATGTCCAGCACACTGTACACAGTGCCATTCCACCTCATTGCGGAGTATCACAGGGAAGAAGAGGTGAGTGCAATGTCTCAAGAAGCATTATATCTGTCTGTTCAACCTGTTTTGGGGGTAAACTGGATAGAAATGGTGAGCAGCTTTTAATTTTAATTTTGAAGTATTAATAATGATACATATGATTGGGAAGTTTCTGACAGAGAGAGTTAACATCCCAGCTCCAAACTCTCCCAACAGGCCTTCAATGAAACAAATAGTTATTTATTATCACATCTGAAACAAAGCCAATCACAGTACGAGTTCAGGCAGTAAGCATGTAACAGGGCTCCCTCCACTTGTGTTGCCTTCAAGTCCTACCTTCCTTATATCTTTCCTTCCAGCCACATTAGCAGAAGACTTGACTTGTGAGTTCCTGAGGTTAATAGCAAGCCTGTAAAGGCTGTCAGAACTTTTAGTTAACTGCCAAGTGTTACAAAAGCTCTTAGTTAATAAACAAATGACATTCAAGTAGAAACAGCTTTATACAGTTCAGTATTAAATCCTATACCACATTCTCATTATCTTTCTAAATGTCTGTGGTTGGGTTTTTGTCCTCCATGGCCTTAAATCCTGTTTCCAAGGAAAATCTGGAAAAACTTGCACAGCTTGTATCATGTTACTGGACATGGCAGGATCTTCATGTATTGTAAAGTGTTGAGTTTTTTACGGAAAAGTTCTCTCAACTCTCTTAAGTCAGCCAAACAGCTGGAAACAAGAAAGATTAAGCAGAGTTGGAAAAAATTAGAAGTTCTCAGTATATCTTGGGAAATCTGAAGAAATGAATAAAGGCAATGTTGAACCATTGGAAGACCACATAAAACATAGTTGAAAGTGGCACATAGATCAGGTATAGATCAGGATAGACCAGGTGCTTCCATACAGCTTTTACCAGCACCCTCTGAATGACGAACACAACAAAAGTCTTTAATTATTCAACTGGATGCTAGAAGGGTGTCTCAAAGTGATGAAATATTTCATATGTGCTTCTTAATTTTTCAGTTCATTTCTTTGCTCCTTCCAACAGAGAATTATCATGATGTTTTATAAACACAAAACAAAAGACTGGGAATGAGCCCAGGTTAGGGTGAGATCTCAGTTCTAACCTCAGGTCAGCCAACTCAGAGAGGAGGAGTAAATGCAAAATTTGTGTCCATTCCAAGACAGAAGTGAAATAAAATATGCTAAAATGTGCATGAACTTTACACTTAATAGGCCAACGTATCTGTGTGTTACTTGTAAGACAACCAGCTGTTTCTTGTTTGGTGTATAGTACTAGCTATGACAGATGTCAAATGATATATAATTCTATGTTAGATTTTATATTAATGGGTTTAGCTCAAATCTTCTATAACGTACAAGATAGGAAAAAATTGAAGAGCAAACATCAGGCACAATTAATTTACAGATTCATGTATTTGTGGTCAGAACTACTGCCACACAGGAACACTGGGAACAGCCCAGTGTTTATAATAATAAATATAATTTATTTTAAAAAGTCTGAAACTGGGACTTTATCATTTCAGAACAATGAACAGATATTTTCCCCCACTATACACTCTACCAAAATCATGTGATGTGTTTTATAATGCTCCCGTTTCAGCTCCTGTTCTGTGCTACTGTTCCCTAGGACCCAAATTCAATTTTTTTCTACTGGATTAGGAAGAGACTGTTTGTCTCCAGTACTTGTGAGCTTTGTGTAGCTCAAAGGCAAAGTAATAGGGTTTGCAAAAAGCAAAAAGCATCTTAATGGCTAAGAGAATTTGGATACCAGAACACAGTGGTGCCGCTGGCCTACAGTGTGGGAACTTCTTGTTGTTGGAACATAACCTCCTCCATTTAACAGCCTATGCAGGAAGAAAATAAGTATGTAAATTATCACATCATTTCCCAATAAAACAGAGTAATTTCTTTCTGGAGGAAGGGACCCCCAGAGATCATGAAGGGCAACCTGAAGCAGGCTGCCCCAGGTCTGGTTTGAATGATTCCAAGAATGGAGACTCCATCACCCCTCTGGTTAACCTGTTCCAGTGATCCAGCAGCCTCACAGGGTGCTAATATGCAAGACACTTGTACATAATAAACAAAGAGTTTTGCTCTGCTATAAATATATCATAGCAGATACACAGATTAGTAATTTAAAGTGGTCCTCAGCAGTGTAGAAGAATCCTAGTCTGGATGTTTGTTTTCAGGTTTCTTTCAGCCCCTGCAATAAAAGTGTTATATTTGTATTTTCGTACTGATTTCCTTGATGTGCTCTGAGCCGAAACTTCAGATTCCTGCCTGTTTGAGTGTGGGGTACATCAGCACCGATGTAAAGCCTTTGGATGTGTTCCTCACAACATCCTTCCCTCTAAACTTAAAAGATGGATTTGATGAGTGGACTGTTAGATGGATAAGAAAGTGGTAGGATGTCACATCCAGAGGGTCATGATTAATGGCTGAGAATCCAAATGAAGATCAGTGACAAGTGGTACCCTCAAGGGTCTGTATTGGGGTCAGTGTGATTCAGTATCTTCTGTAGTGACATAGATGAAAGACTGAGTGCACCCTCACCAAGTTTGCTTGGTGACACCAAGCTGAGGCATGAGGACACAGCTGAAGGACAGGAAGCCATCCAGAGGGACCTGGACAAGCTTGAGGAGCAGCCCATGGGAACATCATGAGGTTGCAAGAGCCCCGTGGGCAGCAGGGGAGGGAGGGGATTCTGCCCCTCTGCTCTGCTCTGCTGAGACCCAGCTGGAGCATCCAGAGCTGGGGTCCCTGCACAGGAGGGACAGGGACCTGCTGGAGCAAGTTTAGAGGAGACAAAAATGGTCATAGGGCTGGAGCACCTCTCCTCTGAGGAAAGGCTGAGAGAATTGAGATTGTTCAGCCTGGAGAAGAGAAGACTTCAGATTGACATGATTGTGGCTTTCCAGTATTTGAGGGGAGCTTGCAAGAAAGATGGAGATGGACTTTTCACAAGGACACATAGTGATAGGACAAGCAGGAATGGCTTAAAAGTTAGAGAGAGTAAATTTAGGTTAGATATCATGAAAATATTCTTTATTGTGTGGGTGGTGAGGCACTGGATGAGGTTGCCCAGAGAAGTTTTGGATGCCCCATCCCTTAGAGTGTTTAAGGCCAGGTTGGATGTACCTTTGAGCACCTTGGTTTAATGGAAAGTGTCCCTGCTCACAACAAGGGCATTGGAACAAGATGATTTTTAAGGTTCCTTACAACATAAACCATTCTGTGATTCTGTGATGATTCTTTTATAATATGATAGTATGTCTCCTTCAGACATGAGTCAGAGCTAAATTATCCATTACAGGATGACCTGTACTGTTAAATGTCAGTTTAACAGAGCTCAAATTGACCTGAACTTGAAAAAATGTACAATTTTCCTGGTCAATTTTCAATTACTTCTGTAAGAGAAGGGATAGAGGGAAAAATTGCCAATGAGAAAAACTGGACAATTTGGTGGCAGCTTGGAAAACTCACTGTTACTTGTAAAATCTCTGTGGTAACCTCTGTAGCCTCTGTGGTACAAGAATGGGAGCAGCTATTGACCTGTCCTGCTGCCCCTGCAGGGTGTAACAATGTCTTGGCCAAGAGCTGCATGTTGCTGACACTGTCCCGTTTCTGGGGTTTGTTCTGTGCTTCTTTGCAGAGCCTGAAGCTGCAGGAAGGGGAAAAAGCAGGGGAGCACGGGCGAGGGAAGGGCATCGACTGTGCTGCTCTGACCTGCATGGTCCAGCTGGCCCAGATCATTCTTGGCGTGGGCCTGGGGCTCCTGGTTAGTGTTGCTGGCAGCACTGTCACCGTGATTTCAGCATCCACAGTGGCGCTGATTGGCTGCTGCTTCGTGGCTTTCTGCGTTCGCTACGTGGACTAGGACTGCAAGAAGCAGTTGGAAGAAATCTCCCCAGGGGAGTGTTTCCTTTCTGGGTCAGTAGCACTGGTGCTTTTGCTGTGCTGACGCTGCTGGCACGTCATCCTCTCTTACCTCCTTGGATCGGTTGCAATTCCAGAGCTTTATGAAATGGAGACTTGATAAAACTGGTTGCCTAATGCCTCTCTCACACAAACACACACACACTCAGTGTGTTCACATGCTGTGACATGTGATGGTGTGTGTGTGGCCATAGTATTTTGATGCTCTGCACTGGGAGTCATTATGAAGCTCCTCATTACCAATTTATTAAAGTTAACAGATGAAGAATGTGATAAATTGAAGTAATATAAAAGGACAGAGCTAGGAAGAAAAATCTTTATTTATCTTGTATTTCAAGTGTCTTATGTTGGGGGCTGTTCCCTCCAGTAGATTCAAACAGGTGTCAGAGGCCATGCAGGGTGCAGTTCTGTTATTAGTGGTACTGCTAAATGGGATCAGTTAATTACCAGCTGCTGTCAGAAGCAGAAAAGAGTGAAAAACAACCGGATTATAAAAAAGATTGAAGCCTATTGTTTAAAAGCATTGCTGTAAAGTAATTATTTTTTTCTGGATCCTGCTGCTTCTGTATAGATGAAGTGAAAGTATTGACTGAGCTTGTCAGGAAAATCTGCCTAGGGCTGCTTTGCAAATCCATGTGTAGGTACCTAAAAATCTGTCTATGGGAAACAACTGCCATTTCTTCCTTCTTTAAAAAGTAGCCTCTCAGCTGTGATGTTGTAATTTAAAAAATAAACTTGGCCAATGTAAGAATTTGATGGCTTGTTGACCACATAAATCTTGACATTGGATATGACAGTGTTTCCCTTGAAGAAGCATCTCTCTTTTCTCTGTTTCATGCTTTGACTGAAATGGCATTTGCTCTCTACAGAATACTGTAAATAAATACAGTTCTGCAAAGCACTGTCAGGAATTATTGTACAGTAAATACCTAAGCACCAGTTATTTGTATTTAATTGCATATGAAGCTTCATTCTTATTTTTTTAATACTGCCAGAGTTTTGAAAACCTGTTTGTAAAAGAAATATAC